CTAAATTCCTTTTTTTCTTTCCTTGGTAGAATTATATATATATATATATATATATATATATATATATATGTATTTGTTTAACTCTTTGCTTCAGTAGTGACTGTTGTGGTTGGGCAAAATAAAAACCATAAACATAGTAGCTTGTCTCCAAAGATAATATTTGGTTTTTTTTTAATTTAATGAAAATGACACAAACCTATTGTACAGCTTTAGACTTTGACTTAGACAATGTTTATTGTGCTTTTGTATACTCAGAGTGTATACAAAATTAGATTTTGTTTAGTAAAGCTTTCAGGCAGTAAATTAATATTTTCATTCCATAAAGTGCAGCAGTGATCAAATGTAAACAGTGTGGAAACGTGTGTAAAAACATGCCGCAAAAACGCATTCATATCAGAGCATTAATATGGTACAGATATGCAGTATTTTTTCTTTGGCATTATCAGTGTGACGTCTGTGACATGATTTAGAGTTTTTCTTTTAGGAGTATTTATATAAGTTTGATGCACATTTTTTTTCATTCTTCTAAAATCATATTTGTGTTCTTGGTGCATTAATGACATAAATCATTGTTTAAAGAAAGAAATCTAATGAATAATTTTTTTAGTTTACATTGCTACTTTAAAATGCAAACCTTAAAAAAAAGAAAAAATGTGAAAATTTAATAGATAATAAATCAAGAGACAAATTCATCTCCAAATTTCAGCAAAACTTTATTTTTCATCCTAAAGATTTTGAAAATGGTGTTTACTGACAATTCTTTAGAATGATGTGAAACTGGGCGAGTTCAAATAATTATTTAGAAAATAATAAATATAACAGTATAGAAAGTTTAATTCCAGAACATAAAAATAAATATACTTGTTTAGTCGTTGTTTCGGACAATAAACGTTGCCAGAAAACAAACTGAGGAATGCTGGTCAAGGAAACATGTATCTGTGACCAAAATGAGACGATTATTTTAGTTTGCTCTGAAAAGACTGGTTCTGGGATAACAGCACATCGTAGTTTGGTCAACGATATATAAATAGTGAAACTGGAATGTTGCTTACAGAAATGCTGGGATTAGCTGCATCTACACAACCCTGCAATTTATCGGCATCAATGATACAAAGTAAAAAAAGTGTAAAAACTCAAAGAAATAAAAAAATAGCTGTTTAAAAACTCTTTATTGTTATTTTGACTGTAGATATGCTCATTTTTAGCAAATTGTTAGTTTTCCAGGTTTCAGCAGAAATTAGCTTTATTTTAACATCTTGCTAACGAACTAACTGCCCGTGGCAAATGTTTAGTTTTTCTATGTAAAAATGTGCAACATGCAGAAACTTAAGGTCTGCCCATAATGAAGGATTATGTAAAGAAGCAGTGCTTACATATTATTGCAACTAACCAGGGCAAACAAACCAAACTCTGCTTTGCAGTTTAACTGATTAAAGGTTAGAAAACTCATCCCTTAAATAAATTCTGACTGATGGAAATGTTCAATTTGCAGTTTTAAAATACAAAACAAAAAAACAATTAAATAATTTCATTTGAAAAAAACCCAAAAAGCTACAAATATTTATATTAACACTCAACCAATCAAAATCAGTTGTGTAGAAAACAAACTGTAACAATTGCATTGATCTTTCACACTATGAATAATGTGTCACACATGACGACCATCAGGCGTAGAGAGAAGAATAAAGTTTACCTCACAAACTTCCCGCTGCAGCTCCTACTGCCCCCCCCTCCACTATTGTCGCATCAGTCAAGTGAAGGTCAGGTTGATTTAAAGAACATTGGCTTGGTTATGTTATGCTAACCCTGAACCCCCCCACAGTCGCCCATCCTTTTTCTCCTTTCACCCCCACATATCATCGTGGCCGTGCAAACCTGCGGATCCCTCTGTCCTCAGGGCAGCGCAAGGACAACTACTGTTGTCTTTTCATCACTGCGTAAGCCGCTTAATCCAACAGCCTTGTTGTTTATTTAGATAAGAGATCTATGGGAGTTGTCTTGGTTTACACCACAGTCAGTTCCTCTGTAGTTAGTGAACTCTGGCTCCTGGTCACAATTAAAAAACAGAAAAAGCTTTGGCCCATTATATATCTTTCTTCACACCAAAAAAAAAAACGAAATCTAGATAAGTCATTTTTTTCTTATTTCTTGGATTTAGGAGGTAAAAGAGCCATTTTGCTATTGGAACAAGACAATTTACATTTAAAATAAGAAAACAAAATTATATTTGTCTTATTTCAAGTGCAATTTATCTAAATATCTTATTTTAAGAGTAAAAATACTCATCCCATTGGCAAACTCTCATTTACCTACTCAAATTAAGGGTAAATACGCTTAATTTAAGACCTTTTTACTTATTTCTAGATCGTTTTTCCAGTGCAAGCCAGCAGATCCACTCACTTCAGGGCTTTACCATAAATTCTGCTGTAATTTAAACATAAAAAAAACGAACTCTGAATTTGTGAGTGAATCAAAGGAGACGTTATTGAAACAGAACAGCACCTGATATAAAGATATGCTGTAAAACGTGGACAAGTTGATGGTTCAGTGATGATCTGGAGCTCAGACAGCATCAGGAATCAAGGATATATCTTGCGTCAGTTTTTGGGACCGTTCAACTCAACTTAATCTGAAGTTTCCTTTCAATAAAACAATTAAGGAACGGAGGAGCAATATTGAAGTTTCAGAGTGGAACAATAACCACAATACCAAATGTTTGATGAGCTGACAAATAGAAATCAAATCTCACTGTAGTGAAGACCCTCAAATGCACAAGAAGGAAAACTTTTTGTTTGGATTAGCGACTTCTGAACAAACATCAAATACTTTTTTTTGCTCTGAGTTAACATTACATGTGGTATAAATCAAACGGTTCAACACTCTGACATCTGTGACCCATTAAATTAATTTCAATCGAGCTCCGTTAGAATTATCCGCTCGGAGTGAGCGACTTAACCTCGCCCTGTCTCCTCAGCTAAACTTGAGTTGTGACAAAGAAAACAGTTCACAGATACCAGTCGGCCACTGGAGCAGGGAATGATGGCGGAGCAGACGGGCACTGAGCTGTTAAATGGTGATTAGAAGCAGACAGATGCTTCCTCCTGTCTGCATCCAGCCGCCTGTAACACTAACTTTCCCTGACGACCTTCCAGGATCCATTCAACAGAGGCTGGATGATCAGCTGCAGCCTGCGGGGGTGTAAGAAATGTCTGTCTCCTGTTTTTTTAACCATTAACATAATGGCAACATTAGTTCCAGGGCCACGCTTCCCTGCTCCCAGGGAACTATTGTTTAAACGCAGCGAAAGGCCCAGCCAAGAAGACTCCTCCTGTGGCCTCGGATCTAACTGAGCTTTGAAGACACATGCAGGGACAGACAGGGAAACACAGGCCGGCTATTCATAAGACTAATGTCAGCATCAGTTGTGGTTTTAGCGTTAAACAGGGTGAACCGCATTTGTGAATTACGTAATGACTTCCTTGCAATTATGAATCTATCTGCACTGTCACACTGTGCTGCCATCTGTTTGCTGAGCTAAATTCATCCTAAAGATTTTAACTGATTGCTTACATGAAACCCTCTCTTTGTTTTCACACTGGAAAATATCAGCTAGTAGAGGAAAAGCTTCCCCTGTTGGAAAAAAAAATAAGATGTGCATCTAATGCATGCAGCATTTATGTTTGACTGGAAGGTTTGGGAGCTTGAGCTTCAGCATTTCAGATTTTTTTGGATTTTATATGTTTAAACTTGCAGTAAAATGTTCATTATTTTGCAGTTCAGAAGTCTGGACTCACCTGGCAGGAGAACCAGGACTCCCCTCAGCAGGTGACTCAGCCGTTCACTTGACATATTTCCTCTTTCTGAGCTCTTCCCTCACACCAACCGCTCAAAAACACAAACTTTGATCCTTTGGAAATCCAAATCACTGGGATGCACTTGTCATTAAGAGATCAGAGCGCACAAAAAACTAAAGCAAAAACAAAACAATGGCTCAAACATGAACCGTCCAGTAGTCCTTCAGAAGAAAATCTGGTTTTATCTACCTCAAGTTCTTGGCTTCCATAGTTTGATTTGTAAAAAAAAAAAAAAAAAAAAATCCCTTCAAATCACTTTTTCTTTTCTCCACACAGATGCTTTCCTTTACTTGAGGAGTAAATATTTCTGATCTGCTCCTCTTGATTTAAGCAGAGCGAACCTCTCTGTGCACGTGAACAGGCTGGACTCTGCGGGTGTGCGCTCCTGTCTCACTCTTATAGTTTTGAGCTGAGAGGAGGGAGCAGAAAGGGAGACAGGGAGGGAGGGCAGAGAGAGAAAGTTGTAGTGTGTTTGGAGGAGGAGGAGGAGGAGGAGAGGGGCAGCAGGAATTGAGCTTCAATGTGTCCAAACTCAGGAGGAGTTCCTAGAAAAAGGTGCAAAAAGGGAATGTACACAGTATAGCATCCAATCAGTGAAATATCTTATAACTTCCCAACTCACATTTCATTTTATTTTTTCTTTATATTACAAATTTACTCTTCTGGATCCTATGTGCGCTTTTATTCAATGTATTTTTTATTCACCAGTGAGATCACCCAAGTCTAACAGCCATGAATAAAATACATTCAAATAAATTTAGATGATAAATCTATCAGCAATTGAAGCACTGATCAATTTCTTCTGTTTCCAATTTCTCATTTGGGAGAAGGACTGTAAAAGCAGATGGATGCACAGAAAGAAGTCTTTAGCTTTAATTTCAGTTTCATTTAATTTCATTTTATTGTCATGAAGACCGATTAAGCATATGGTCACAATAGACATTTGCTTGGATGGTGTCGTTAAGTCTGCATGAGGAATTTTAGTGGGTTAGAAGAAATTATATTGTATTTTTATTTTATTTTACCAATACTTTGCTAAATCCTTCCATCAAAATTTTACCAAATGCCACTTTACATTGCTAATTTATGCTTATAGTTTAGGTCAACTGTTATAGGACTTTTCATGGTGACACACTGGTCATTCTGGGGGACTTCCAGGTTTTCCCAGGCCAGAAGAAATGAAGAAATGTGAAACAAATTCGAAGAAAAAACAAATTCATTGTCATTGAACAACAACAACAAAAAAATATATATATATCTATATAGCAGCATTTCTTCTTAGGCGTGTCAATATAAAAACAGTGGGTGTTAATACTAATGCAAAAAGAGATGCAGCAGTCCATTTATTAGACAGGTATTAGTGTTTGCACAGATGTTTTTTTTTCCTTATCATTTTGTTTTTACATTTTAAGGGTTTCCTCTGAAGGCGCTTGTGTTTTTAATATCTGTTTGTGTCCTATAGGCAATGTTTCCCAGCCAGAACTATGGGGGCCGTCTGTTAGGTTGGTTTCTGCTCAGAACCAACTTGCAGAGAACGACAGGATGCTTCCGAAAGGGGAGTTAGAGATTTAACAGTTTGTGATCTGAGTTTGTGCTGAAGAGAGAAACTGTGTAAATGTGTAATTCAGTGTAACTTCTGTGTGTTTCAGTAAGCCCACACTTATGGACACAACCCTAGCAATCTCTGCCACTTTTTGAATCATTCATGGCTTCTCCTATAGTCGTACAAGGCTTATTAAAAGTGTGTGCTGGAAGCATTCAACAGGAAATAGGATTAGTCCTAAAACAGGTGGTTCACTTGTCTGCCGTGAGGTGCTTGAGGTTTTGGCTGGAATCCTTTAACAAACACAACAAACCTTTTTAAGCGTGTAAGTACTGCCGTGCCTCAGAGTCTTTAACGCTGTTCATTCCAGTTTATTGAATGGAAGTCATGCCCATAATTCATGCAATTTTGTAATTAAGTACAAAAACACACACAGAAAAAGAACAAAAAAACCATACCAGATAGTCTGGGAGCAAAGTAATAATTTTGCCATTTGACTTTATAAGAAATTACCTGTACTTATTTAGCGTTTTCTCAAGTCTGGGGGACCATGTTGTGCACATAAATGCATTTGGGTTATGCAAAACTGAATCAAATAACTTTCAGTCTCTCAAATTTTGTCCTGTTAATCCCTGCTAAAAAGGCAGTGTGTTACTATAACATAAACATTATGGTCATCTGCAAGACAACAGATAGAAGAATTAATTAAAGTATGACCATTGTAAGACAGCAACACATATATGGAATAAATTCACAACTTCCAGTCCATCTATCTAATTAATTGTGGGGCTGGTGCATATCTCCTGCAGACTGGACAAGAGGCAGGGTACACCCTTGACAGGTTGCCAGTCTGTTGCAGGGCAACAGAGACACACAAGCATGCACACACACATTCACACAATTTGGAGACAATTTAGAAAGACCAATCCAACAAAAGTTAATGTTTTTAGACTGTGGGAGGAAACCGAGTATCCCCAGAGAGAACCCATATATGCAAGAATATGCAAACTCCATGCAGTAAGACTTTATGCCAGGAATCAATCCCCAAACCTCTTTGCCTTGATGCAGCAGTGCTACAAACTGCACAACCACACAACTTTCATTCCAAATCTAGAATTCTTTAAAAAAACACTAATTCACCTCCAGATTCCAAGTGGAACCAGTGAAAATGGTAGCCTAGTAAACTAGCCCCACCCACAACCGGCCAAAATCCTTTTTGCCTGCAAGTGGTCTAGCCTCAATCAATGCCCCAAGCCCTAGAACTGGCGGGCCAATCACAATGCAGAGATACGTTATGAATTTCTGGATGCAAAGCAGGCGGGGTTCTAGGGCGTGACAACAAAGCTGCAAGACACTGGAGAAAGCATAAGGAAGATGGCATCAACTATTGAACAGTTGTTGTTTGACTCAGCTTTGGAGTCAGTTTTGGAAGGATTAGACTTGGAGTTTTCGTTGAAACGTGAGCAGGAAGAGGCTCTACGCTCATTCGTTTTTTAAGAAGGACGTATTCGCAGTTTTACAGACAGGCTGTTTGTTTACACTCCCCCACCAGCTTTCTGTCGCTTCTGTTGCGCTTCCTAAGTCACAATCAGTTGTGGTCATTGGTCAGAGCGTTGGCCAATAGGCACAGACAGCAGTTTGAAAGACAACGGGTTGTTCTCATCAACAATCTTCTGATGTCTCATTCATCGAGGTCAGACTAAATTACACATTTAATCTCACATTTAGTCTGGTTTATCAGGCTATGAAAATAGGCAAATGTTTTAGGAATGTTATCCTTTCCGTCAGTTCAAACATTCACCCGTGTCTCCCCTTGTCCAGTGCGACGGAGCTAAGGGATGGAGAAAATTAGGATAACATTTATATGGGAACCCAAAGCTAGTCCTGAAAAGAACATCACCTAGAGTATGAAACACAGGGTTTTACAGGCCCAAGTTTATGTTCATATTCTATTTCATGTTCATATTTATCTCATCGCTGCAAGGCGCAAGCAAGTTTCAAAGCAATTTAAACAACATTCATCCATTTATACACACACTCACACGATGATGGAGGTTTTTCATGAATGAAATACAAGCACGCTATCAAATGCTCACACATTTCACACTAACCTGTACCCCACTATAATTAGAAAGACTAACACACACTCTCTCACACACAGTCCAGTCTCATTGAATCACACGACTCATGTGGTTTGTTGACACTGCTGACCATTGCAGGAGCAGAGAAAGGTTTTAAAACTCCTGCCAAGTCAAACTTGGCAACACATCTACGATAAGTGGGGCGACTGGAACCTTGGCATGAGGTCAAGGCTGCACTCAGTCCCAACACCATTACATCTACACACAGCTAATGGTCAGTTCAGTTAGAATAAGCAGTTCTACCGCTGGGGCTGAGTTTCATATGGAACATCATGCTTTCGTATTTGAACCAATTGCCTGCTTATTTTTTATTCTCCCGGACTTTTTAAAAAACTTTCTCACAATCTTAACTCTAAATTCTCATGATCCCTGAAAACTACGTTAATACATATAATGGATGAAAGGTTTATTCTATTGTTTGTTGTTATTGTTAGGATTCCAGTCTGTGTGGTTTGTGTTTTGTGTTTGTCTTCCTTCCTCCACCAGGCGGCGCCTGGTTCTGGTTCGCCTCCTTACACACCTGCGGAGGGTTACCTCGTTAACGGATTGCTCTTAAGCTGCTGACTGCCACAACCTCGACGCCAGAGTGTTTGCCAGTTTTGGGTACTCTAGCCAAGCTGAGTTTTGCTGAGTCAAACTGAGTTTTTGTCTACCTGAGTTTTAACCTCGCTGTTTTTGTCTTTGCCTCTCGGCAGGAAGTCATCCTGCAACTGGATCTGGACCTTCTCTCCCCTGGAAGGATCTTCTAAGAATCAAGCTGAGGATTCAAGATTGTGGTTCTGATCAACCCTTTCCCCCCGAGGACCGTTTGGAGTTTCTCTCTGAGCAGGGGATTCATCTCCACAACAACCCGTTCAAGTACCGCAGGAAATCTAAGTGGTAGTCAGCTTCTCCGTTCACCTTCAAACAACCGCATTCTGGGTAAACCCTGTCCGCCCTCCATCGAATAAGACAAACACTGGAACACCCCACACTGACTGGAGTCAATAAGACTCAACCATTTTCTGGAAACGTGAGTCTGCAAGCTATTTCTCCTCTTCAAGTTCGAGAATCAAATTTCCCACTGAGCCTGAACTAACCGCAGTGTCTTCCCCCAACCCAGTCTCATGGGAAAACGTTTTGCAGTGTGGACCAACGTAGTGGGGGTACATTTTCCCATGAGACTTGGTTGCTTCCCCTCACTTTCCAGTTCCGATTGAGGAGTCTACAGAGCTACATTGGATTCATAACGTCCTTCTCAATAAACCTGTTAAACTTTCCCCTGGTCTCTCTGTATTGGTTTTCTGCATGTGGGTCCGAGCTCTTGATAAAATCATGACAGTTATTTTGTGACATTAAATTTTTTTTTTCTGTGTCTATACACATATATTCTGCTGCCTGAAGTCACTATATAATTTTCATGAGAAAAAACATTTATGTACATAAGATGGTGCCACCAATGGTGTTTAGTTTATTTTTTTGTTCTTTTATGTCATTTCCAGGTGCCTTTTATTCATCTAGCTTTGCTAAAGAGCGACTCCAAACATCAGGGATTCCACTCTCTGTAGTTTTTTTCTGTTTTTCATAAAAACAAAAAGGTTTTCTGAGATCCTAGTGGAAAGTGTAACAACTCTCTTTGGGATTTACAGAAGCAGGCAGTTCTGAACAGAACTGACAAACCTCCAAACAAAGAGGCATATTCTATGAAA